GCAAAAAAGTATTCTCGTAGCTTCGTAACTTTACAGTTGAACCACTGATGTCACACGGACTACTTTGTCGATCATCTTGGTACTTTTCTGGACCTTGAACGTGGTAGTTACCTTGCTGTCAGAGCAAGGTATGGGAGGGTCAGAGAGCCCTCAGATTTCATCAAAAATATCTTCAATTGTGTTCCGAAGATGAACGAAGGTCTTACGGGTTTCGAACAACACGAGGGTGAGTAATTAATGACAGAATTTTCATTTTTGGGTGAACTAACCCTTGAATAGTTTTGAGTTTTTGATGTTTTATCATGGTTGTACATGCATTACTGTTTGGGGACGGTACTATGCTCACCACAGCTGCATTTATTTGATCACAAATACAGTAAAAACTGTAAAATTATGAAATATTACAGTTGAAATTAACTTTTTTTTGTTTTAAAATGGAGTTTTCAGCATCAGTACTCCAGTCTTCAGTGTCACATGATCCTTTAGAAATCATTCTAATATGCTGATTTGGTGCTTAAGAAACATTTTTTTATAATCCGTGATGAAAAGATGTGCTGCTTAATTTTTTTTTTTGGAAACTTTTGAATGGTACTGTAGATCTATTAGCAGTACAAGGCCTATATATATTTATAGCATTCCTAAGGTCAGAGTCTTCGGGTGGTGTTTGTTCCTTAACCGTTCGCTCTCTCAGATGTTCACAGCAGTAAAGGGGTGAAGATGCAGAAGCGAGGTGGCGGCGGAGGCTTTGGCTACCAGAAATCTAAGAACGTCCACAAGGCCAAGATCTTCAAACACGTCAACAAAAGGAAAGGAGATGGTAGACAGTTCTCACGCTGAGAATAAGATCAATCTTCCTTGTGATGCACCTCTATATGGAGTAACTGTCAGACTACACAATTGTCATTTTGTTAATTTGTTCTCAGTCGTTTGAGAAGAGCTCTGATCAGTCTGCATTCCATGCCTGTACAGAAATCTGTTTTCAGAAGCCGTTATGTAATGCTGAATTTCTATTGTTACTGGCCCAACTCATTAAATATAGAAACTTATATTGTGAATAATTCTTCATGCTGTCTCCTCTCTCCACATGAGATTGAACCTACAACCTTAGTGGCAACCAGGGTTTGATAGATCAGCCTTTGGATTTTCATTTATGTATTTGTTTTCAAATGGCTCATACAGAAAACATTTTCCGTACTGTTTCACAGAATAGAAAATTCTGAGATTTAATAATTTTCATTTATGCACCAATGTAACAAACAAATGCTTGCTTTTTTATTTAAACACTTTAAAACCTGTAAAATGGCACACAAATATTTTGTGTGTGTGTGAGATTAACAACCAATGAACTATATATTAGCATTTTATTAATTTTGGGGTTTTATCCTTATAAAAAAATTGTTTTTAAGAAAACATAACGGTCAAATAAAAAGCAGCACATTGATATCATAATAGTCATGAGGTTGATTCATTTTACATTCAGTATTTTGTTAAATATGTTGTAAATATCCTATATATTATACAGTCTTAGAAGCCATAATGCTGCCATCTTTAAAATGTGCACAAGAATTGCACATTTCAGTTGTAATGTTATTTACAGGTCAAGGCAATCTGTGAACTGAAGACTGAAGAGTCTGTAAGATGCCAGGTTATTTTTACCATTAGTGTATCATATGTGACTCCTCACTAGTCTGAAACCACTATAGTAAATAAATCTGTCAAATCAGCAGGTAGTTCATTTCTCCTTTAATGTGTTTTGGTTTTATGGCAGCAGGTTTTTATGATCATGATACAAAAACAAAGGCGATTAGTAAGGGAATTTGTGTTGTATACATAATGGGTTTAAATAAGGTGACATCAAGGCACAAAACATCTCCAGTTTAACAGTACATAAGTTACATGCTTCATCTCTGAACCTAGAAGAATCTAGGCTAACATAAAGATACTGAACAGTAGAGATTCAGTCTGAAAGCAGATGTGATCTCGGCACGAGGCTGTAATGCAATGAAATACCAACATCAGGCAATGTGATGAGTATTTTGAAGTGCTACTTGGGAGTTGTGTATTAATGGGGGGGTGGGGTGCAAATCCAGCTGTTACGACGCTCCCTTTGCCCTTAATTTAGATAACAGCATCTCATTCTTGCGGCACTCCTGCAACAGACAAGACAGTTCGTTTGTTTCCTCAATCCAGAATAATAGCAATTATCTATAGATTAATGTCTATACACCCTATGTAAAGGAGAAGGGAAGAAATTCATTTAAAACTAAACTTGTGTGAGTATATACCTCTTTAAAGTCCTTGACGGTTTTAAAATAGAGCCTCTGTTTATCCAGCAGCTCCAAGTACTCATCATTCAGCTGATCTCTGCGCATCTTATTCTCCTGTCTTTTCTTTTCCATCTTTAAGCGCACAAATACACATTAGAAAAACACTAATGCAATTCATGTTCCTGTCTGATGGGGTAAATCCACAAATAGCCAGAGTGGAATTAAACGAATTCATATGCAAAATGGAAATAAATAATCAATATTTTAAGACTTGATCTATTATATGATATAGTAGTCTGGTTTTGTACCTTTATGTGACTCTGTTTGATTCCTTCCACAATTTGCTCCATTTGTCTGAGAAACTGTTCTTTACTTCCTGACGAAGCCATGGCTCTAAAAACACACAAACACACTTTACATTCAACTCTGCCTTCATGATAGACATTACAAAAGTCAATCATCTGAGACGGTCTGATGCTCTTGCTGTAATATTAGGACATTTCTACAAGGATGCTGGAGTTTTATTTGAAACTCACTGCTGGAAATGATCATGTATGGAGTTCAGCAGATTGACCTGTGAAAGAAAAAAAAGAGTGTTTCAATTTTACTGCACATCCTTTTAAACACAACACTCTTGACTAGAGTTTGATTCTTTTCATAAATACAAGAAAATTAATTCCCAATAGCACAGATAACAAAGCTGAAACCTCTTTCTCCAGGTACACCTTCTTGTCATCCAGGGTGTTATAGAGAGTGAAGAACTGTTTTGTCTCTTTGTGTGTTGCAGAAACTGAAAAACAAATGAACAATTAAAGAGAGCTTCAAAAAGCCACAGCTTTGATTTCAGCTCATTCAGTTGGATCTATTTTCTAACCAACATCTTAAAGCTATTGAGTAATAGAAGCAGTGAGAGTTTTTTTTTCTTTTTGTATTGCAACCTACATCTGAGTAATCAGATTATTGAGAAAGAAAATAATGTAATGTTCAATATAGTTGATACTATAGGTTGTTGATTGGATGGAGGCAGATCTGACTGTGAGCTTGAGGTCAATTGTACAAAAGGGGCAGAGATTAAGCAGACTAAAAGACTGGAGAAGTCTGTTGTTTCACTGGAAGGTCGAGTTATATTTTAATTAAAAAATATGGGGTAAAAAAAATCCCATCTTTAAAAAATAGATTCTGACTTTAAACACACACACGCACCTTGGCTGTACAGCTCAATAAAGCGTTTCTGATACTGGGTCAGCTCGGCTCTGCTGGGAACCTCATCAATCTTTCTCTGCAGGATGGCAATCTCGCGGTTCCTCCGAGCCTGTAGGGAGCAGTACAGTAAAACTGAGTATAAAGAATCTCTTAAGTAATCTGCTGAGTAAAACCATCAGTTCAAATTGACCTACCATAAGCAGACGGATCTTCTGCAGCTTTTCTCTGTCTGCAGTGTACTGCTGATCGATCAACATATTCATCTCCTACAAACACACATGCAGAGGGTAAGTCTGAGAAGTAACTAGAATGACAGATCGGCTCTGTTCCAAAAAATTTGGCACATTCCCTTTAGGAGGATTGTTTCAAAAACTTCTTTTGGTCAAATTGCTAAGGCAGCATTGGGCACAAGAAATATGGCAACTGAAAGAGGTAAGAGAAAAATGATATCCAAGAAAATGGACAAAGTGACAGAGTGAAGGAAAAAGCTTGAAAAATGACCAAATTTTGCCCAATATTTGTTTATGATATGTACTATTATGCTTATTATGCCATTAGCATAGCAGCATCCTAACACCAAAAAGGGTCGCTGCCTATGAAGAGCGTTCCAAATCAGTCACTTAAGAGGTTCCATTTCAGTTAGGATGACTATGTAGGCACCTTCTTCTCATCTCCTTCTTCTCCATACTCCAGCTTCAACTCTTCAATATTCTGCTGCAGACGGGTCATTTCCTCCTATACACACACACAACTGTTAAGAATACATTCATATCCTCAATGTTACTGACAAACCAAAGTATTGCAACAACAGGGTTGTCATGATAACATACGCGACAGTGTGAGCGGAACGTTTGCTCTTGATGTTTGAGGTTTTCATTCATGGCCACCAAAGCACGAAGCTTCTCCAGAAACCTGAAAGATAAAAACAAACGCAATACTTCAATACAACACATGGATACTGATCCTTCCTAAGAATTATCATGCTGTTTGGCTTTACTTTTTCTCATCTGATTTCTATACACTTTGGTGTTAGCGTGATGCCAAGCTGATGGCACAATTCTCTAATAAGCACAACATACACAAAGAAGCAAATAATCCATTTCTAAGCAGACTGAACTATGTAACCCACATTTACTGTTCAGTGAACTTCACAGACAAATGCAGTCATTTCAATAGGAATTCACACAATCAGGAATTTTGTTGAGGGCGAAATATTTTCCCTCACAGATTTTGCATTGGTTTAGTTGAACTGAAAAACATGGCTGCCTTCGATTACGCAAAAAGTGTAGCATGTCCAAATTCAAAGTATTTATAAAACAGAAAAGTACCCAACTACTTCTGGCGACATTACCCCATGAGGCCATGGGAGAGAAGTTGTGAACGGCAATGAAGAGATGCAACTGATGCCATTAAGTCACATGACAAAGCCAAAATGGCAAATGTTGTATGTTCAGACTACATTAATATTCACAGTAGGGTTGTGACGGTGAGGAAATTTTCCCACCAGTTAATCGACGTGTGACAACACCGGTAATACCGGTGAAAAATCTAAACGACAGTGGGGGTCAGTGACGCGGTGGGCAAGTGACGTAACCGGTGTTGCGGCTTAACACCGGTATCACCGTCAACACCGTCTATCGCGGCAAGCCTAATTCACAGGACATTTATAGTACACACATTCATACTAAATATATACTTTAAATACAAACAGGAAGTACTTATTCAACAGAAGATTCTACTCCGAGAGCAAGCGATTTCAGATGCAGCCTAAAGGTCCTTGCACACTGACTTCGAAATTTGCGTTTTTTCGTTTTCGTCATCCTTTCCTATCAAAATGCTTGCTATGGATGCGAAAATGGAGAAAATCGAACCTGATCCGAATTTTTTATGATGGACGAAAGTTTCGGAGGCAGTGTGTAAACATGATTGACACAACGTGAGGTTGTATTTATTTTTTAACGTGCAAAAATTTCGGACTCAGTGTGCAATGACCTTCAGTTTAGATAATTCCAGGTGTTCTGTTTGCTTACCCAGAATCTGCCTGAGACTCCACGTCCTCCAGTGAGTTCAGCTCTCTCTCCAGCTTTTCAGTCTGTGCTGTGGCCTAAAAAAACAAACATTAATGGTCCAAGTCAACCAGTTATCTGTCAGGATATGTCTGTGCCTAATTGTCTCACCTCGGCTAGTTTGATTTTAGCATCCTCACATGCCGCTCTAGCCTCCTGCTGTTTGGATTGCAGCTGAATAAATCAAGAAACAATGAAGATATAAACAAAGAGAAGAAACAATGACTGTGATATCAGCATTCTCAAAACTGTAATGTGAGGTAATGTGGTATTACCTCTTCGAGCTCTTTTGTTTTTTGAGTGATTTGTTTGTTGAGTGACGCCAGTTGACGCCTGTGTTGCTGCGCAGGTCCAAATCTTTCCGGCCGATCCTCCACAGAGCGCTCCGCCTACCCAATCACACATAAATGTAGAAGGTTGGAACACACTATACAACTTATAAAATGAGAACATTTTTATTTTATTGCAAATTCCAAAATTGTATTCCAGTCTCAAGTCTTTGTTCTTGTTGTAAAAATAAAGGGACTGTTTCCTAGAGGTTCAGTGGAGTTCTATCACTGTTCACCTTCTCGGCATATTCCGTGGCAATTTGCTTGATCTCCTCCGACTGCAGTCCGACAATCTGCCCCACTGTGCTGGCTGACAACTTCCCCTAAAAACACACACAGAAATAGCATAAAATAAGGAGACTGCTAACAGTTTATATTTTTTTTCTTAAAG